CTATTAGTAAAGGAGAAACGGGTTTTAGAGCTACTGGAATATTTCTACTAAATCCGGAAGTATTCACAGAAGAAGATTTCTTCGCTGCAGAAACTCTCCAATCTGAGAATATTGTAATTCAAGACTGCAATGGAGCTCTCGCAGCTACCAGCACGATTCCCAGCACATCAAAAGAATTTCACTCACCAGTTCCGAGTACTTCAAAACAAATTGATCCGCCGGTTCTTGGGATGTCTGAACGAGTAGGCCCACTTGATTCTGAATCAGATATTATATCACCAGCAGCTGGCACGTCAAATCAAATTAGTGCTAATTTGCCTGATTTGATCAAGTTGCCAGATAAAACACCTGTTATGAATACAAGAAAAGGCCGAAAGAAACACCACGCTTCAACTTCCACGCCAATCAAAGGAAAGCTGTTAGAAAAAGAAAATAAGAAAATGAAAAAATCAGGGGATGAAGAAAAAGAAAAGAGATGGAGAGGTAAAGGTCAGGGAAAAAAGACTACAATTCAGAAGAGGGGTGCTGAAAATGCAAAGCGCCAAGTACTACAAGAAGCAAATGAAGTTTCTGTATCAGATGTTGATATTGACGCAGAAGATGCTGGAAACAGATGCCTGGTATGCAACGATTTTGGAAAAAATAACGAGATGTGGTTCAGATGCACCTCATTTGGGCTATGGGCTCACGCGAAATGCACTGGGTGTAACTCAGCTGAAGGTTATGTCTGCGATATGTGCTAGGTTTTGTTTGACTCCGATTGCCCCCAGGGTGACCACCATTACCTTCATGTTGGTGTAATGGGAGTCAAAACTGTTTTTTTCATTAATTTTATAATATCCAAAGTTGATTGCCAGAGTGGCTGATAATTACTTCTAATGATAGTTAATTAAGTATGTGATGTTTAAAGGCGGTTGCAATAAATAGTTTGTTTATGATTACACTTTTATTCGAGTTCTCGCTTAAGTGACCACCATTACCCTCTTTTACCCTAATATCTCAATAAGAGACAATACGAACATACCAATATAGTTTGATTAGCGAAAATATTCTTCCTTTCCAATGACTTTCATTTGCGACACTTACCGTTGACCCTTTTTCCAAAACATTCAACACATTTGATTAAATACTTAGTCCTATAAGAAAATCTACACAGGATACGTCTCCTGGAAATTGCTTCAACAGACACCATTTGGAAACTTCTAGAACATCGATTACACTTCTGTTTTTTCAATATTTAAAATATTCTCAGAGCGGTGTAAGGCGATGAAAACAGTTATTTACATTCTTCAAGTGAAGAAGCTATCGGCCTCTGTATTTTGAAAAAAAATACTAATGAAATATATTTAATTTTTTTGATTCAATTCCATTAAATAATCAAAAAATCATATCATAATCAAATTAGACAATGAAAATTCAAACTGGTAAAATAAAAAATTCAAGCAGTTCAGTGATCGGCTTTACTTAAAGTTAAACACCATGTTTCGACTGTTTATATTCATCAGCGATCAAATCCATTTAACGACTTATAACGACGTTATAAAAGTGACCAGTTTCTCGTTAGCATAAACCAACTGAATGTATTTAAACTGTGGAAAATTTGCGGCCACTTTGATGGTTCTAAACTTTTCAATTCGAGAACAATAATCTTGTCTTGATTGTTTCTACATTCATTTCATTCCCAATCAATCTCGGGTTAAAAATATCGCTTGATTATTTTCACAAAATAGTATTTTCATGTTTCTATCATTCCGTTATGTGAGCTATTGAAAGTCGATTTTACGTCGTCTTAAAAATTATAATGGTTCAATTTGTCTACACCAGGGGTCTCCAAACTTTGAAGCCTTCGAGCCATAATGATTTTTTCAGTTTGTTCCAAGGGCCAATTTCTGCCCTCAACTATATTTCTAGACTATAATAGTCGCAAAGTGCGTGACATAAGCAAACTTACGCTTTTTTTGCATTTCAATTATTATTGTGTATTGTGACACTTAACGACATCTAGTGGCGAGTAGTGGTACTATGTACTATCTTTTTCAGCTACCCGCTAGGTGGCATTAGGCGTAATTAAATATTTGGAATTACCGCGTTGGTTCGAGAAAGTTCTGGTTCTAGCTAGTGTATTCCGATCACCTCGAGATGGCAGTAATATTTGCATATAAAAAGGCTAGCGGTGCAACTGCGAGTTAGTCTGCGTAGGAAAGGTGAAAGAAGCGAAACTGTCTATCGTGAAATAAAGTAACACCCGTCAATAAAAGTATTTTGATTTGACTTATTGTTTTTATGTGTGATTTGTTAGTATGGAAAAGAAGAGAAAAATCGACAGTGAATGCAGAACGTTCCAAGAAAAATTTAACTTTCAGTATTTTGTGATTGAGTTCAGTAATAAGGCGCTATGTTTAATTTGTAATGAAACCATAGCTGTTCTCAAAGACTATAACATTAAACGACACTATGAATCGAAACATCTTCAAAGTTACTCCAAGTATACAGGAAGTTTGCGGGAGTAAAAATTTGATGCTTTGAAACGCGGAGTCAAATCGCAGCAATCTTTGTTTACCAAAGCAAATACTGTACAAGAGTTTGCAACTCGCGCCAGCCAGAGATAATGCTCAGGTGTTGATTTTTATTCGCGGAGTGAATAAAAGCTATGAAGTATATGAAGAATTCCTTGATATTGATAGATAGTATTCACGACATGACAACTGGGGCAGATATTTTTGAGGGAGTTGAAAATGCCATTAATAAAAAGAACCTTCGATGGAGAAATTTGAAATCTATAACAACTGATGGAGTTCCTTCAGGCAGAAAATAATACTATTTCAATCGCAATTACGTAATAATGTTTCACACATTTTGAAACATGTGAAATAATCAGCCACACTACAGAGACTGAATTTCCCGTCAATTTTGCAATCGAAACTTTGAGTGCTTTGAAGATAAATTTTGATACTTTTCAGATTTTGATGTAATTGCGAATGAAATTAAGCTTTTTCAAAATCTTTTTGATTCTGACATTGAAACCCTGGCTCCGGAAGTCCAAATGGAAATTATTGATTTGCTTGAGAACAAATATCAAAATTCATCTTTGTTGGAATTTTATGAGAGTCTTCCACTGAAACAATTTGATAATTTGCATAAATTTGCTCTTGGGTTGTTTTCTGTTTTTGTTACTACTTACTTGTGTGAGAAAACGTTTTTCAAGATGAAGTACACAAAGAATGTTCACAGATATCAATTAACCGATGATCATCTCAAATCTCTTTTGATAATTGGTACAAGTAAAATTGATCCACAACTACAAAGTATTGTCAGTGGAAAATCACAATTACATTAGTGTTTTCGTTTTACTGTGATTCATTTCAATTATTTGTTAGTTATTAATATGCTTAAACTTAGATACTTGAGTTAAGTTTTCTTTGTCATCATTTCTGTCGTTAAGTTTTACCTTGCAAGTAAATAAAACCGAGTAATTATCATTTTGTGTTTTCTTCTTCAACTTATCACAGCGATAGTAACAACAATTAGGTAATCATTGGGTAAGATTGATGATAGTAAATCATTGGCTGTCGCGGGCCGGATTGATGACACTGCCGGGCAGATTTGGCCCGCGGGCCGTAGTTTTTTTGACATCTGTTCTATACGAATACAAGTTTTGTTTTAATGCTGATCCATATTTTTCCAATTTTCATAGACAAGGTTAACGAATTGATTAATCGATAATGTTATGAAGAACCGTTTCTGAAAGTTTATTCCACATAAACAAACTTCTGCAGATGGAAGAGTTCGTGAACAGTGAAGTTAGAGGTGTACTGAGTTGAACCTCAAAACGAAGAGCAGCCATAGTTCGTCGCGTATTTCTGATATGTACCGCTGTTGGTGGAATCAAATATGCCAAGTGAACACTTCCAGTGAAAGTATCTATAGAAGAGAGACAAAGCTTTCCAAGCTTTCGGGAAGCAGCCTTTGCAATCCCAGCGATTGTAGCGATTGTGCTACAAAAACTAGAAGTGTATGGCTTTAGAGATATATCTTTGAAATGGTTCAGATCATACCTGTCAGAACGTACTCAGAACATCCCGGACAACATATCCCATATCCAAACAGTGACTTGTGGTGTTCCACAAGGATTTGTTCTAGGCCCAATTCTCTTTTTGTTATATATTAACGACCTAGCCCGCATTAATATAACTGCAGAAATAACCCAATTCGCTGATGACACTATATTGGCATTCCGAGAATGCCAATGCCAAGTGCTCCACACTAAATATCTAGCTGGGTACTCAATTAATGGAAAATAAAATGCCAGCAAAATTTCTGGGATTACAAATTGATAAAAATTTGGACTTTGAAGGTCACATAAATAACCTATGTGAAAAAATTTCACCAGGATGCTTTCCAGCGAGAGTATCAGCAAATGAACTGAGCATCAATATGGCAAAAAATGTGTGCTTTGCTCTCATCGATTCCCATCTGAGATACGGTATCTGTGTAACGGTCTAAATTTACTTGTAAATATTGTAGATATTGTTCGTTTATTTACTATGGAATCGACAGAATTGTCATTTATTGATGACGAACTTTTCGTCACAGACTGCTCTTATGTGACCTTTCAAAAACACTACCTTTCCTTTTAAGATCTTTATTCAGAGGATATTAACAATGTAATTCAGTTACAAGTTCATTTTATTCATTTAACATCATAGTAATGGGAATCTTCCGTTCCATAGAAAACCATACCTGAAATGTATAAGAATAAATGTATGCTCCCTGACTAACTGCTTGACCAGTACTTACGCATTCTCCTATTGCCAATCGACGTTGGAGATCCGAAATTCCTCGCTAGGTTGAAATAGTTGTTATTGTTTGTTTCTCAGTTTTCTTCACCTATCATTTTTTTCAGCCGTTGTCTGCCTTATTCCCTATACCTTTCCGAGAATATTTCTTGCATAGATTGTTATTCATCACTTCCAGAAGGTTTACTGACATATTAGAGCCATATCGCCTGAAAAACAATATTAGTTACCTCTGGGTTTCTGAATACTGTTTGATATTTTCGGTAAATATTCTGCATAATATGAATGCTCTAATATTTGTACTGAAAGGGAAGGTTATGGCGACTTACCTTATATGTTTCTATTCCATCGCATGAATAAGGATTGGTAAATAGTTGAAAATAGGTTGGAACAATATATTTTGTAAATATTCGTAAACAAGGTTAAGAGACAGCTGTTGGTTGACATCTGCCGAACTTTCGTAGTGTCGTTCCGTCGACTTACACCGAACTAGTTCTACAGTTGTTCACGGGTGAGGGATTGATCGGTTACTCAAGTTGTCAAGGGTTGTTTTAGGGTTGCATTGCTTTGAGAAGGAGTTTTGATGGGTCATGGACTTGTTGATGATGTATCAAGTGGCTGTGGAGGAATTGTTAGATTTATGATGTTGTGCACAGCGCCCCCTTGGTGCTTGTAGTGTAGATTGGATGCACTGTGGCAACAACTGGTTAGCTGTCAGATGTGGCATTCTCTTAGTATTTGGAAGTTAGCCTTCGGTGAGCTTGGTTCGGAGTTCAAAGGGTATCATCAGACTGATTGTAGGATATATTTGGTTGTATTTGTGCCATCCTTCACGGGGATTATTTCTACAAGTCAGGATTGTATAGTGGAAGACTGATTGGTCATTTTGGTGTGGATATTTGCAGTCGGAAACTTAAGCTCTTTTGAGGATTTGTGGTGGATACCGAACTCGTGCCAGGTGGAAGGATTTCCGAAATTAGGTATGTCTGAATCACTGTCGCATCTCTCATGTGATCTTAGCTATGATATCACTTCTTCAATTCTACAACCTTCGTTTCTCGTCTCTAGATTCATAAGAAACAGAAGGCCCTCAGTCACTCATCAAGTCCCAGCAGGACTTCCGTGCAGAACACCGCACACGAAGAATCGTATAGAAAACCCCTTGGCCAGGGTAAGAATTTTACCATTAAATGTGTTTTAAATGATTTTAGTAATTTCTGGTTCCATCGTTATATCTCAACGGAATATTAGTATTGAAGAGAGGTTTCAACACTCATTCAATTTTCTTGATTTTTACGGATCATATGGTTATACAGGGCACCCAAAAATATACTCTTGTTATCTTGCTACTTTGCTTGATGAAAATATACCAGGGGTATTGATTAGTCAAATAGTCCTATTGAATGGGGGTTGAATCTCACCTTGTTTCATCTGATTCTGATTGAGAATTTTCTTCCGTAGGGTTTTTCTTCCTGCTTTTCTTCCTGCTTTTTTTTGTCTTCGTCAAGGGTTCCTGTTTTCCTTTATTTTCTTTCTGGATCTTATTTGGTGATCCATTACTGGTCCAGCTTGTCGTGCCCTACAGGGTGATCTATCTTGGTGGTGCTACAGGGTGATCCATCTCCGCCGTACTACAGGGTGATCCACCGGTGCTACAGGGTGATCTATCTTGGTGGTGCTACAGGGTGATCCATCTCAGCAGTACTACAGGGTGATCCACTTCCGTCGAACCACGGGGTAGCCTAACAACATATACCGGGTGGCCCAAGAGGAGCACGCAAGTTATAATTGATTTAATTGAATATTTGTGATATACTGAGTTATTTGAATAATTGTTGCCTTTATGTTTATTGATACCTGTTGATATAGTGTTGATTATCGTTTATTGATTAAGAGTTGTTTATTGATGCCTGATTGATATAGATATTTGTGAAACGGAAATTGAGGTACATTCTTCCTTTCACGATTGCTGATTGACACCGATGCGCCTACGCCTGAGCTCACGCGACGCAAACGAGTTTGTCTTACCATCCGATACTAGTATTTACGATTTCACCTACTCAATTTTCGTGGTAGTTTTACTCGACGTATTGTAGTTTTTTTTGAGCGTCGTTACTACCGTAATTTATGACTGATTGAATTCGTGGTTATATACACCGCGCTCGTGTATTGACATTTGAACATCGTGTAGTAGTGTGAATATTGCATTGTAGTCTTAGAAGCGTTGTTGGTTAAGCCCTGTAAGTTAGGATTACTGAATAAATCATATTGGGGATTTTTATCTTTTATTTCCAATATTAATTGGTAAGTTATTGATATTGTGAGTTACTTAGGGTATCTGGAGGATTAAATTTACCTGGCGCCCATTAAGATCTATTTGAAATTTGCTAAGTTGTTTAACCCACTCCCGTCTCCACTGTTTAGCTTAGCCGCGGATACCCATCTGTCTTATTTGTTACCGACAGATGATTTAGTCTCCTCTTGTGGTTTGTGAGGTGACATCTGTTTTTGGGGAACGTGTTGCCAATACATGTTTGATAGGGTGTTTGTACTACAAAAAAGAGGAGTTAGAAATATGTGTAGAGTTGGATTCGACCTTTATTCGACCTTTATTCAGAAAGCATGAAATCTTGACCTTGCCTCCCATACTTATATTGGATGCAAAAAAAATACAGGAAGGAAATTTTCATTTCACCACGACGAAATACCAGAAATAAGCTCAATTTAGGTTTACCGATTCCAATATCATCAAAAATAGACAGGTCTTTCATAAACAATGGAAAAAAAATGTTTAACCATTTGTCAATTGAGATGAAAGGCATAACATGTACCTACCACTAAATTTAGATAGTCTGTAAAAAAGCTTCTGATTCCAAAGGCCTTTTATTCTTCAGATGAATTCTATTCATACATAAATTTAAATCATATAAACTATTAATTTTAATTATTGTGTTTCAGCACCTACTGGTATTTAAACTTTGTGACTTTTTTAACTTTTTGCTTGATGTTTACATTCGGCTCTGAACTGTATAGTTGAAAATGTTTACGAAGTTGATACTTACTGTTATTTTCTATGCATTCACTTTTATATTTTTATGTTTTATAGTTTCTATATTCTCATACTTACATTTATGTGTTGCGTGAGAATATTCATTATTATTATTATTTATTTCAATATGTAGCATCTATATTATCACATTCTAACTACTTTTTCACCCCAAAATGCTGAAATCACCAAATGTTCGAATATTACCTTCAATTTGTATAACTTACTAGAACTATGTTGCTGTATCGCTGCTGTTTCCATGCTTTGATAGAATCAGAATCAACGAACTTAGGCGTGCGCAGCTTTGTAGAACAGTTCTTTCAAAAAATTGTTCTACAGCGCCATCTAGTAGCGAGTTACAGAAAATTTGATAGCCTAAAAACCTTCTCTATGAAAAATTACTTATACATGTCAAGTTTCATCTCGATCGGATGAGCGATGTAGAAGTTTATCATTTACCAACCAACCAACAAACATCTATTTTTATATAGCAGATATTCTTTGAAATGATAACACTTTGACAATGATACTTTATCTTCGACAATATATTTTAAGTTGTGTATCTTATATTTCTTAGAATAGTAACACTTTGTTAATGAGATTTCATCTTCGACAATAAAGTACATTTTGATTTGATTTGATTTGACATATTGGTGTCGATATTAACCCCCAACCAACTTATCGAAGCAGAAACTGGAAATATCTGACCTGGCATTATTGTGGTTCAATTCAATGGAACCTGGTTACTTTTACCTCAATTCGAAATCAATTCTAGATCCTCATTGAGATATGCAACCTATTGCTGCCGGTGAAGATGTGTCTCCGTTGCCGATGTCGTGGAATCCAAATGGAATGAAGAGATGAGTGTGCTGATCATCAGAACACTTGTCTCATCACTCCAGCACACATCAGCAATATATTGGTTTTTACAATAAGTCGTTGATAGAAAATTCCGCAAATCAACGTCGAATAGTGCGTTCAATAACACTATCAATGCCAAATGTCTGGTCATTATTTGTTTTCTTTGACAGCGCTATTGAACAATTTGAATTCGTAGAGAAGAATTATGCAAAACATTGAAATTTGGAAACAATGGACAGTAATAATGTATACAGTCCAAAATTCTTTATTGATCAGTATATATTTATTAAAGAGCTACACAAACACTTGACAAAGAAATGAACCAAACTTTCGAAACAACCTAACAGTATTTAGTTTTACTTCACGATCTTATTTGGTTTTGAAACTGGACAATTCTTTTCTGAATATTACTGGAATTTTTTCTCAACACCAAATCGTTATTTTCAACACCTAGACACGTGGTTCGATCGATCACCAAGTGATCTTCAAGAGGAACGTTCCAAACAGCACAGCATAAATTATTTTCTAGCTAGAAAACTTTCCCATACAACAAAATATATGATTTTCTTCAGCATCCTTCTCTTGCCCTGCTTGATATTTTCCATAAAAATCATTTTAGAACTTATTTCAGAAGATTGAATAGTGAAATATCTAAATATAGATGACTAGATTCGACTTCTATATTATATTCACTTCTCCTTTTACCAATTTTGCGAAAATGTTCAGAAAAATCAGTTGATTTTTCTGATTGATTTTCTCATACACAAAAATTAGTTCGTCGGAATTGAGTTTCTATTCTATTAAATCTCTGGCCATAATCGAAAGCTTTCGCCTCACGCCATATGTTTGCATTACGATATTAATAGGTTTTCAAAGTTATGATAAACGTTGGCGGAAATTCTAATGGACGATGCTAATAATTTCAAATTAAAATATTTTGACTATGATTCGACCAATATTTACATATTGTTGATGAGAATAAGAGTTGATCTGATAGCATTCTTGAATTACTTTTCTTTATTACTAGCAACCCTACCAGGCTTCGCAAGGGCAACAGAACATGTATGTCTGATTTTTTTTGTCATAGCTTGTAACTAATACCGATTTTAATTTTGGAATAGGTTAGTTGTTATTCAACTAAATATAACACTAAAACAGACAACCTACGCAAAACGAAACCAACGCAAGTGGAACCTTTTTTTATTTCGCGTGTCGCATCGGTTTGTGAGGCCGCTTGAAATTATTTTCTAACGCGACTATTTTAATCTAGCGATAACTACAGAGACAGATACTGATTCAAAGTGTATGATGTGATGAACAATTACAATGTGTATGGAATGCTTCAGATGATTGGCGTACTAATATGGTAGATATTACTATCATATCCGTCTAGAAAACTTCCCGATTGCATACATTTTGAACAATGAAAAGAGTATTTTCTAAAGAAAACATTGTGATATTTCAACTGATTGAAAGAGACAAATATTTATTTGAATTCACCAAAATGTAGAATGTTCGGCACTGATTCACTTTCCTTCTCGAGAAATCAGTTCCTATCACGTGTTATCCCGTGTTTTTCACGTGAGATCACCCTTGAGTGTCCCGCGTTGATCTTCCGAAACGAGCCCTTCATTCAAATTGTTACTAAATTGAATTAGCCTGCATCTGGCTCATCTTCCCCAATTCTCAAGAACCCTCTTCAAGTCGTCAAATTACCTCAGAAAGACGTCTTTATAGCTCGGAAATAATTACGCCGTTCATTAAAAATAAATTCCGGACTCGAGTCTTCTGGGCATTCAATCTACACGGTAGAGTTGCTTACACCTGAACTTCCCTGCTGGATAATAAGCTTTATTTTACGTAACTTGTCTACCCTGCGGGGTCATTTGGCATAACAGAGCACACAGATATTATCTTTGAACTATTTTCTCAAGGATACACCCTGCAGAGTCAAAATATGAGACGACCCAATGAATTATGTCAATTCTGTTGTAAACTTACAAAATACCTTTTCCAAATATTACTATTTTGAACCTATCATCATGCAGATTACAAAAGTTCTTGAATTTCACTAGTTCGGACTTCCATTGTCTACTATATAAAATGATTTGAAATCCCAGAAACAACTAAAAAAGAAGAATTGAAAATGAATATCTGAAAATAAGAATTATATTAACGTCACATCCCGTATGAGTGGGTTTTCGGTATACTCACTCATACGGGACAGTATCTGAACCACGAATCCAACCACCATCAATCGACTGAAAGAGGAATCATCAGGACCCTATTAGACCGTGCTCTTGGGCTCTGTAATACGAAGGAAGGTCTCGAGAAGGAACTAGACATCGTCAAAAATGATCTTCAACGAAATGGCTACTCCAAAGCGATGGTAGAAAAGACTTTGGCTAAAAGACAGAAGGAGCCTCGCAAGGAAGAGAAGCCGTCACAACCAGTGCTTGCACTTCCCTACATCAGAGGATTATCGGAGAGGATAAGAAGAATTGATTCCAAATACAACATCAGAACCTGCTTCAGATTCGGTAACACTATCCGTAGCAGCCTCACGAAAACCAGGCCACCAAACGCGGAATGCGATTCCAAGAATTGCATTTATCGGGTACCCTGTGAGTGCGGAAAATCCTAAATTGGTGAAACTAAGAGGCCATTGAATGTTCGCATTGCCGAGCACAAGAAACACACACAGCGAGGGGAAACCAGCAAATCAGAAATAGCAGACCATGTTTGGACCCATCAACACAACATCGAGTGGTCCCAAGCTGAGATCTTGCACAGAGAGGAACATTGGTTTGGGTGAAAGTTCAAGGTTTCACTATTATTTCATTTCAGGTTTATTTTCGTTAATATAATTGTTATTTTCAGCTATTCATTTTCAATTCTTCTTTTTTAGTTGTTTCTGGGATTTCAAATCATTTTATATAGTAGACAATGGAAGTCCGAACTAGTGAAATTCATCATGAAACATTGTCAATCACCTTCAAACAAACGAAAATTCTTGCTTATAACACAAAAATAAGTTTAGTGGTAAAGTAACAATTGAATCATCTATTGTTTTTGTGGATGAGAGTGTGTACCTATACGAGATATGTTAAAAAATTGAGGTGAATTTTGATTTTTTTCAAAAAATATGTATTCATTCCTCAATTTCTATTTTGTTTCCTCCAAAGTAGTCCCCCTCAGATATGATACACTTGCGGCAGCATGTTTTCTGATTTTCGAAACAATCCTGGTATGCACTTTTTGATCTTTGAGCTCCGGCAGCTATTTGGTTTCAATCTCCTCAATCGACGCAAAATGACGCCCTTTCATGAGTCTATTCAATCTTTGGTACAGGAAACAGTCGCAGGGGGCAAAATCTGGTGACAATGGTGGCTGGGGCAAGATTATGGTGTTGTTTTCGGTCAACAAATTACAAAATTGATCGTGCTTTCTCGGTCTTGGTTCTCTTGGGCTCACATATACTTCGTTAACATCCATAGTTATTTTTCGTATTCTACATTTCAGTACGTTTTGCTGCATTACATATTCAAACGATATATCACAAACCTATACTTCCTTTTTGAAAAATTGGGGGTTGTACCTTTCATTCGAAGGGGATGAAGGTAGAAGTGGCATTTTTACGTTGAAGAATGAAGAGCTATTTTCATTTGCTTATTCCAATGTTTCAGATCTCACATCATTCCAACATTTCTCTACTACACTGCCAATACAACACAAAAGTTTAACTGAACTGCAATTATCTATCGCCTTATTAGCTCATTTTGTACCGCACTTTCCACTAGACTAGCACTATCTGCCTGTTAGTAGTGCTTATATATCCCAATGGAAGTCTTCGGAAGCAGATAAGAATATTTTCGCGAAATCTAGAACGATCGAGAAGCACAAGTAGAGTTGAGCGCAACCTTGGCCAAGTCACAGACGATTGACAAAGACCAGGCGACGGCCGTCTTTATTTTTTTCAGGGTACGATTTGCCACAAAATTTTCACTGTTGGGTGTAAAGGAAAATTCTTCTTTCATTCTGTTTCGAGTTCGTGAATTTTCTTCGGTATGGTTATTCTTCTGGTTTTATGGTTTTCAGCGATCTCCGTCCGTTCTTCACACATAAGGAACTGAAAGAATAAGATTTTTTGATACCTTTCTACCCGTACGGGATCATTATCACCAAAGAGTGAGTCTCCGTTTAGAGGATTGGAATATTGGAAAATGTATGATGGAATTCGCCGATGCGTAATGAAAATCAATTATTGACGTAACACAGATTTTCACCAGATTTTGTCAGAAGTTCGTGAATCTTCTTGCCATCAAGGTTTTCAAGCCATTTCTTCGCTTGAACGGTATTTTTGCCGATCAAGTAATAGGGTTAAATTAAAACACGAAAATGTTTTCAATCCATTGTTTTGAAAACAACAAAAACAGTGTCACTCTTAGCACAATAACTCACACACTTATGAGTTGAATTGAATGAGTTGCAGTTACCAGGGGTACATATTTAAATTTAATAATATATATAATATATATAAATATTTATTGAAGGCAAGTTTTGTATATATATCTCTGCTGCGTATCAGTTTGAAATGACAGCTTTTCTGAAAGTTCAAAAACCACCTGCGAATCTTCTGAAATATTTCATTACCAAAGAAAACTCGTCAAATTGTTATTAACGAGTCTTGCAACTTGAAGAAACTTCAAAGTAAGTATCGAGGGATGTCACAAAACTTTTCCCCACAGCTACGTTTAAAAACATCCTTGCCATTAGTTTCCGAAACACGGAAGTAGGCCGAAAAGGAAGTTATAACTCACCCTGTAGGTCTCTGTATGGAAAACCCCCTCTGACCTGCGAATAAAAAACCGTTCCGCCACAGAAGCCCCACAAAAATAAACCGAAGACCCTCTCATTGATGATGAAGAGCCTCGAGTGGGGATCAATCTACGTCAATGGTTTAAAGCCGTGATTCGAATTGTCGGTTCAGGTTAGTTGATTTCGTTCAGTCTATTGGGTCATTTCCGTTTACCGGCGCCCGCTGGATACATACATACAGTGCGATCATTTGAAGAGGAATTAAAAAAAATCAGCCAATCACTTTTTTGAAGCGTGGCAGTTCTGGTGCGAAAACTGACGACATGGAGAACCAAGTTTTGGATCGATTGTCCTCTTTAAGGTGAGTGCCGTTGTAATGATAGTGGATACAGTTAGATTCAGCTGGGTGACAGGGCCGTACCAAGTTATTGTAAGGGGCTCGAAGGCTTCTGGCAAAACGTATTCATTTCTTTGACTAAGTCACGAGAAGTTTGCTATTACAAATTGATTTGGGATGGAAAACTCAATTGATTTGCATTGATTTGATAATTCATACATAGAAGACAATATGTTGGCTAATATCATTGACTAGGAGACATTTCCTTGATTATGCTGTAGGTAAACCAAATAGCGATAGAATATTGGACCTCACATATTTATTTATTCATTTACGGCAATGCCTGTTTTTTACAAAATAATTAACAAGTTCACACATATGTATTTAACAGTATTCTAAGCTAGGTTAAAGGAAAAATATAAAAAATAAAATAAAAAAAATTATAAAAATGAGTTAATGAATTACAATGCTCTCATAGTCTTTTTAAATGTTTCTAAAGAAGAATTAAAAAATTCTAAATCTTCACTGTATGTATTTGCAAGTCTCAAAATTCTACCTACAGATTCATTTCGGTCATACTTGGTGCGACAAACGGGTACTTTGAAGATTTCCGAATTTCTTGTTCTCCTTGAATTCACATTTGAAGTTATAAGTCCGACAAGTTCCGGAGAATGATGCTACCATTGATTATTTTATGAAGTAGTGTAGGATCTGATTCTAATCTTCTATGAGCCAGAGTATTCAAGTTAAGAATGCCCAAAATAATTTTATAGTCATATTCACCAATATGCTATCTCAGTTTATATGCAGAGTACCTTAAAAACTTATTTTGAAGACTTTCAAGCATATCAATAACCACTTGATATGAAGGACACCAAATTGTGGCATTGTGTTCGATTATTGATGTAACAATTGAACAATATATGATTTTTATTGAAATGAAATGATGTAAAATGATGATGTAAAATGCACATATTATATCACTTATACAGTGAGTTCCAAAAAGTGTCAAAAAATTTTATTCTATTTTATAATAGGAAGGTGGACAAGTCTCTAGGAAACAACTCCTTTATATAGGCAGGTGTAGGCCAAGACTCGCCGAACACACACTCTCTTATTGACGATTGTTCAGCATTAATTAATTAAGTCAACTACTTCACATCATTAATTCATACTTATAGTTATTATCTAACCATCTGACCTGAAAGATCACTCACCATACAAACTAATCGGCTTCGTTAAGTAGCTGGGTGTATTTGGCCGATTGGCCGACCCACTCATTTTGGACCTAACCTAACATAACCTATAGTTATTATAGACATACATACAGAGTGAAATATCAATTTTGCACCAAATAACTAGTAAAAATTTTAACCATTTCAACAAACATCGATATACTAATTCGAGTAATGAGTTGGATCATAGTAATATGAGGGAGGCGCCCAAGCTGTATATGGGATATTAGTACTCTTTATGAGGCTAGAACCATAAAAAAATTTATTTTTTTTGTTTTGTCACGTAGGTAGCTGTGATTCAAAATCAGAATATTGTTTCCAACTACAAACGACTTTTCTGCATAAACTTTATTGATACTGTCGAAAATAAGGGTCGTTTACTCTTGATGAAAATTTCTATTTTTTGTTCTCCCCTATACACCGTTTGGAAATTCAAAATTTTGACAACTCAAATCCAAGTTTCTTGCAATGTACAAATTTTTATCAGGAATAAAATTTTTTGTCAAATGGATGATAAAATAGTTTCCCACATGGTGCAAACTTTTTGAAACTCACTGTATTCAATGTTTGGTTCACAGAGAGGAAACCATGAAAAGATATCAATCAGATCAGGTGGACACTCACAATTTTTGAAAAATAAATTTAAGTTTACTCAGTGAACTGAATATGCACAAATAGTTTGGAAATTAAAAATACAATAGATAGATATTCTATGCGTGTCTCGATAAAATGACGTCAGGAACAGATGCCGTATTTATTTATTTATTTTCAGTGGAATACAAAAGGGGACTAACCCAAAAAGAGTATTCACAAATGATGAGGTGAAAATAACAATAAATGATTTGATTGTTATAAATAATATGTAATATAGTGTTATGAACAGTTATTAATCAAGTGCGGTGCAAATTACAATAGTTAGATATGACAATGGTGACTGTATGAACAGGAGAACAGTTTTTTTAGAGAACAGTCTCTACAAAAAGTGAAGTCCGCCTTTCATTTTCATTTATATTGAATTATATTTAGATTAAAATATTATGAAAGTGTCTAATAAGTGGAAGTAATGAAGACGTTGATTATTATTACCATTAACATTTCATAGTCCAACATTTGCCTCATATATATTACATTATTGAGACGTTATATCTGAAAAAACTTAAAACCATATACAATCTAAAAAAATTAATACTTATCATAATAGGCTTTGAAGTTGAAGTTTTTAAATTTGATTTTCAATTTGTTACACTCAATGACATTTCGTTATTGTACAAGTCATTGAATTTGGTTTATTTGAAAAGCCGAGGAAAAATACGGAGACAGAATCAACAATCAAAATTTGATAAATGAGGTGTGTATGAGGTAAATTAGACATTGTGTTCTTTTCAATGAAAATATAACTTTGAACAAGTAACTATAATTAAGTGAAATGTGAAGACAAAAGTAAATCACAGCAAATACTCAAAATACTGGCCTTGCTCATGATAACACAACTGTGCCCTTCTTCGAATATTATTCACTGCACGATTAATTTCCTTCCTCCTCAATCTTCCGAACTCTCTAACGATGCTGCGCTGAGGGTCCTCAATATTTTGATATACCCTCTGACCCTAAACTCTATTTTTCAGTGTACCCCATTACACTTAAGTCTGGAGACCTTGCAGGCCACCTCACCGGCCCATTATTCCCTATCCATTTATCACCACACCTTTCAGTCAGGTGATTAGATTCTAGTCTGGTAGTGTGTGGTGGAGCACCATCATGCTGAAACCAGATGTTGTTATAGTTACCCAAAGGTAGACTATCCAAATATTCTTCTAAAATCAACATTAAAAACTGGTGATAGGTTTCTTCATTCAGAATTCCGTCAAACAAATGAGGACCCAAAACTCTATCTTTGTAAATTCCAGCCCACACGTTAATACTAAATTGCACTTCAGGTCGATTTTCTCGGAACTGCCTGGGATTGTGTATGCTTCAAATGTGTTCGTTATTTCGGATGAATATCCCACAATTCGTTAAAAGTGCTTTTATTCGTCCAAATTACATTTTCCAGGAAAACAAGAAAATCAGGTCTTTTTAGGAGCCAATTACAAAACTCTCATCGCCTTTCGGGATCACCTGGATGGAATTTTTGAGATATGTGTATTTTGTAACATTTTAAACCGTTTTTTAGATGTCTCCAAGGAGGAAATTTGACGTGTAGATTTCGTATAGATGTTTATCTGAAAATTAATAATTTTTGTTGAAACGGACACAATGTCTGACTTACCTCAAACATACCTCATTTATCAAATTTTCTTTAGTTTCCTGGTCCATTCTGCCTCCGTATTTTTTCCTCGGCTTTTCAAATGAACCAGACTTGGTGAGATTTTGATCCAATAATTCGAACATAGTTCGATGTGGTTGTCATCTTTCGGGATAGAAGTTCAAATACATTTCCGATGTCCTAACACTGTTTCAATCGTATTTGTAATAAATTTGTAACATATCTCTTTTTTCTTCATTCGTGAAAGCCATTTTTCGCCAAAAATTCAATGACTTGTACAACAACAATATGTCATCGAGTGTAACAAATTGAAAGTCAAATTTAGAAACATCAAAGTCAAAGCCTATTGTGCTAAGAATTTTTTTTCAATATCTCCAATTTATCGAAGGAGAATGATAACTTATGATACATCATTGCAGAGATAAAATCTGTTTCTATTCAAAACAGAAAGAATCCAATGTAGCGCCCATAAGAAAAAATGAAGTTGATGATAGTGGCTGGAAGACGAAACGTCGGATGGCAAATCTGAAAACGCCATTATGTAGCAGGAAAAAAGTGGCAATGTAGAATTGTGATTTATTTTCGAATCCTTTGAAAAATGAAGCTAGAAAAAAATAAAAACCATTTTCCGAAATTTCTGTTTTTTCCGGATATCTCCGGGTATACTCGGGATTTCAGGATGTTCTCAACGGCATATAATTAGTCAGGTAAATGCGCAACTTTGCCCCGATTCAACCATCTTCGTATCTTTCATAGTTTCCGAGATCCCAGTGGTGAGGCTCGAATTTGAAACACCCTCTATACTCCGAACTATTTTCGACCCAACTTCCTCCTCCCACGCGCCTATTAAAATGAATGTTAATACAGTGTCATCAAACTGTCAAACATTTCCATTCCAGTTTTTTAACGGGCTCCTTTTTGCGCGGCAGCCTCTTTCATTCACTGCAAAAATAGCGAATGTATATAATGAGTAAAGTGTTTTCATAACACTTAAAAAATGCGATAGAAATATCATTTGTGGGGTGCGTGATTTTAAATATACAAGAAATGCGTCAGTACGCCTCGAAATACCCGCGTCAGTCAGCGATTATGAGTCATATACCTTACAGCGTGCTTCATATCCAGAAAGAAAGATCTTTCGGAAACACATTTATCTTAGATATTAGAAATCAAAAGTGGAAATTATCGTACGTATGAAAAAAATAGATATTTCAGAATAAATTTCGAAATATTGATCTCTCCTAAATACCTACAGAGTAGGGTCTAGTAAACGTCTGTTGGGAAACAACTACTTCATCCAAAAATCAAATTTTATTCAAGAAATTCTGATGCAATTTTGCGAATTTTCCATTCGTCCAACGTGCCCTAAATGTGCAGTACAAATAGCTTCATCGGTGACAACTCCTGAACGGTTATGCTTTTTATTGTTTACAGATCCAGTTTCCATAAATTTGTTCAATAAATCCGAGACGTATTTCTGTCGTACATTTCTTCCCGGATGATTATCATTGAACATACGAGCA